ATTAAGAATGGGGTGCTAGATAAGGATGGCAGATGTATTGATGAAGTGCTGAAACTTCATCAGTTGAGGTGGTTGGGACATGTTCTGCGTATGACTATTGGATTTGAATTGACAATGGAGTCTCAGTGCTGGTGTGGTATGGCAACATGAACTGATGTACTTACGTACAAAGTTCTATGTTGCATCTGACTGACTGACATTGTTAGACCACTATCAGAAACCTGAAAGCATAGGATGGCTGTCTGTTCTTAGTATAGAATTATTCAGTAGTGCGCATTCACAACCTCTGCTCGCGGGAATCGAACTCAGGACTTTCGGTCTTGCGCACGTGTGAATGCTTAGCCTCTAGACCATTGAACTCATCAGCATCGAACGATATTAATGTCTAATTTTGATCAGTCTAAGAATTTTGCACAACTTCATCCAATTGTCTTCGGTAGTTACTGCTTTTATATCCAATAGGGTTGATCTCCGTTGGTTACGGCTTTTAACTAGTACTTCGAGAACTCCGTCACCAAGCTAAAATGTCTATTTTAAAAAGCTGTATTCCACAATAAGGTAATTCAATGTGATGTTTGACAAGTTCATTATGGAAAACTATCATCAATATATGAAAATAATTCGGTTGAATCTATCAACAAAAATTTACAATGTCTATGAATCGGATTGTTATTTTAACTAACTAACTTACTTACTTACTTACACCTGTTACCCCCGATGGAGCATAGGCCGCTCACCAGTTTTCTCCAACCAACTCTGTCCTCCTGGGCTTCCCTCTCCAGTTCTGTCCAATGTTTGTTCATTCCTCTCATATCTTTCTCTATTTCTCGTCGTAGTGTGTTCTTTGGCCTTCCTATTTTCCTTTTGCCTTGAGGGTTCCATGTGAGGGCTTGTCTTGTGACGCAGTTAGGTGATTTTCACATTGTGTTGTGTTCTATCTACTTCCACCGCTTCTTCTTGATTCACTCCTCCACTGGAATCTGGTTTGTTCTCTCCCACAGTACACACCAGATTCCAGTGGAGGAGGAAATTCTAACTAAACACCATTTAAAATTGTTATTTTTGGATTTTTTTTTTCTTAAGCATCGAAACTGGTTATGCTGAACAGAACATATCGTACAGTAATATAGAAACATCAATACTATGGACCATAGAATGTGTAATAAAGAATATTGTACCATGTATTCTGAGAATATACTGTATTTCGATCAACTTTTTTTCCAATTTTTGGATAGCTGCAACGCACTCGAAATCTTACTGTAACAATTTCTAGTTTCGATGATTCTTTTAGTACTGGTTGCTGCCTATTGATTTCTGTAAGTGTTTACTGAGGGTCACTGACTCACTTTCTTGTCTTGTTCATTCCTCTTCCAGATAACCGAACACACTGGTTCACAGATACCTCTTGGCTAAATGCAAACTAACTAAAGGCTGAAGTATTCTCTAAAGAGAATACTTACATCAGAACACTTGACAACGACGATTGAAATGTCAAACAGACGACACGGAGAACAAAGAAGAAGCAGCCTCAAAGACAAACTAATCAAGATTTCAAAGCCACCCACAGAATAAAATGCAAACAGTTGTGTGGTCAACCTATCGAAGCAACATCTAACGACAACAGAAGTACAACTGCTCCAAAAAGGATTAAACTATAACACGAAGGACGCTTCAAAACTGGAATTCTTCGCCAGCATTAGAGTCATCACTCAAAACGGCAGGAATAAGTGAAGAAACTTAACAAGAAATAAGGCAAACCATAGTATCACTAACTCGACGGAAGAGAGGCAACAACCAACTAACAGCACAACAACGTAAAGCTCTGAAGAAACTCAAAGCCAGGGAAGATATAGTCATAGTTCCAGCGGACAAAGGACACACGACAATAATCATGGACAAGGAGGAATATATCAAGAAAGCCGAGGATCTACTTCAGGACAGAAGCGTGTATAAACCATTCGACACAAACCCTATAAAAAAGTTGGACAATCAAATCTCAAGGACTCTAAACAGGCTTATCAAACCAGAACAAATATCAAAACAGGATCGATGGAGAATGAAGTCCAGTGGATCAATAATTCCACAATTCTACGGTAGGCCAAAACTCCACAAACCTAACATCCCACTACGTCCTATTGTATCCCTCCCCGGAACCCCGACCTACAACTTATCAAGAGAAATTTCGAGGATATTAAAACATCTGGTGGATGAATCCAACTACTCCATTAAGTTTGCCACACAATTCTTGGATAAACTCAAGAGGATTCAAATTGACAACGACGAAATGATGATATCCTTCGACGTAACAGCCTTATTTACCTCAATAGAGCCAAGCTTAGCTAAAGAAAGTCTTTCTCTATTCCTCATCAATGACACAAATCTACACAAATATACAAAGCTTCAGAGCCAAAGTGTGCAAAATGAACACAAAAAAAAGGCTGAAGTGTTTGTTACACAACACTTATTCAGACCTAAATTCAACTTAAGGTAACAATTCTAAAACTGACAGCTTTCAATCAAACTGAAACTTGAGATGATGGCGAAAAATTTGTAGCTCAGGTGGATGATTGTGGTGATGGTGTTTGGTTCTCTGAGCTGGATGTTTTGGTTTTGGAGCTTTCATTGTTCTTATTCTGAGCACAACAACATCATCAGCACAAACTTCAGATAGAAGAAGTGAAGTATTGGAATTTCTCCATGCGTTTGACCTGTAGCTTGTTCTGTTAACCTCGATCTTGATTGGTTGCTGTTGTCTTTTGATCTGTCGTTGTTTGCACCTTTGTTTTGATTGCACCCCCCTTTTGATCTATTTCTTGATCCTAAGTTTGTGCTGATGATGTTGTTCAGAAGAACAATGAAAGCTCCACAATCAAAACACCCACCTCAGAGAACCAAACACCACTACCACAAACTGAAACTTGATCAAGTGTTGTCTATTACTACGATCAGTTAGTCATTTAAAATGTAGAATTCGGTATGTATGTACATCAGTTCAAGTTTCCATACCCCGATAGTATACAGACAGATGAAATTGTGAGGCCCAAATTCCAAATAACTGGAATTAATAACTTTATTAGTAGTAATGGAAAGCAGTAAAGATAACAACATTCTAGAAATACGTAAACTTGTGAAAAAGAATCCAGATATCCTTAGAATTAAGTGTGAAAATATAATCAGTGAGTGAATCTGTAGTATTGCAAAATAATTTTAAAGTCATATCATGCAAAATCTCTAATCTTAACTAGTTATAACTATCACGCAAATCCTAACCAAGTCATCTACAACTTTTATCATAACTGACTCTAGGTTTCTGCTAAACTCACTACACCAGACAGTATCGCATGTCAAGGTAGTTGATGTTTGGGCATGTTGAATATATCAACTGACTACTACTACTACCCAAGTTGACGAAGATTTAAAACTTGAACGATTGATTTTAGCCTCTTTATCTATACTATCCTTATTCTTAAACTAGTCATTTGGAAGTAAATTGAAGAGTAAACATTTATTTTAAGCTATCAACAAACATTTAACATTCACAATTATATCGTACTAAACTTTACAATTCACTTTTTCTCACATTCTCATTGTGAAAAGTAGTTAAATATCTGTTAAAAAGTATCAATATTGCTATTTAGAAATTATATTGACTAAAAAGCGTTAAAGACTGTAAACTACTGTATTTTAATTGACAAATTGAATTAAAGAATGTTGATAACTAGTGTGTAATTTTATGTGTAGCCCACAACGCTTGTCCTATGCATTCACAGACAAACTAATTAACCTTTACCACATGTATTTCGATCTTGTCAATTATTCACTCATATCTTAGGTGTTCTTATTCAAGCACATATAAGTGTCATTTACTTCACTGATCACACACATGTCTGGCTTATTTAGTCTGACTACAAATACTTGGTCATCCTTCAATGCACTTAGTTAGCTCACTCGCTCGCTTTGTTCACTTCGCTTCATCTTACCTATAAGGTTTCGCATGCTCATGTATATCTGCTTGAGTGAATGTATGAACGATGGCTTGGAAAAAAAAAATCTAATCCAACAGAATCCCTATTTGTCTACTTATTATCGTCGTCTCACGAACATGGTTCGTCGAATTACAGAAAGTAAAGGGAAAATTTAATTCATAATATTTCAGTCAATCAGCTACAACGCAAAACTTTGTACACAGACATATATCGAAGTGTCGATTCAAACCCAATACTAGTAGAGGTTGTAGCTGTGATGAAAAAGATTACAAGTTGCGGGAGATGTTTTTCGAGACGCATATCCTGGTGATATTAAGTTTCATAAAATACAAAATCTCATAAGGAATTCAAACGATTCGAATTTCAGAAGAACACAAAGAACGGATGCACCTACGCCATTGCAAACGGTTTTGAGCCATGTCATTCAGGGTCTTTGACCATTGATGACTGTCGTCTCGCGGACCCCAACCAGGTAGCTCAGACCAGCTGTCAGTAACTTCATAGATTTGTGCCATATTGTGCGTTTAGCCTCCCCTAGCTTTCTTTCAACCTACTCCTACACAACAAAACATTGCTTATCTGGGCAGTCGATGATTGGTTAAGCATACGTAACACACGTCCCGACTATAGCTGCTACCTTGACGTGGTGTTGGTCGGGCTTGCCTATCGTGATGACCCAACCGAGCTATATTGGTTGGAACTCGTGTTCCTGAAGGTTTTAAAATGCCAGGCAGGTCGACTGGAGAACGATCAGACTAAAAGTCGTACTGCTGACTGTGATGGAGGGGTGTGACAGCAGTAAGATGTTTCCCTACACAACAAAACATTGCTTATCTGGGCAGTCGATGATTGGTTAAGCATACGTAACACATATTGCAACCGCCTCGATCAATTTTCCATCCTTATCTAGTAACCTTCTTTACTTAACAACAGTTATCCTTTGTAAAAATCACTCTTAAAACAATTCTATCCACTTTAATACCTAATAACGAACTGATTAAAACAAAAAAAACATTTTAATCACACAAATATTTCTTGATTTTAAGAAAAATACAATTAAGATGATGAAGTACAAAACAAAACAGGCGCACACGCACACACACACACACATCCACAGAGAACGGATTCGAACTCTGACCGCTCAAAAACAAAATTTAAAAAAAAAGGCACCAGAAATACCACAATTGCCAGTCCATACATTTAATTTTTTTTTTCATCATTTATCAACACACTACTATCAAGTAGTGTAATACGCTACACATAAAAAGAGATGGTGAAGAGGTCAAAAAAGGGAGTGGATTTTTGTTTATTTGACCAACATGTCATGAATAGAAAAGTAAAATAACATTTTACAAGATAAAGAAATAATGAAAACACACATGAAATGAAAAAAAAATCATACTGATTATTTGTTAGTTTGTGTGTGTGTGTCAGTGTGTCGAGATGTGGTATATGTATAGTTGTGTATTGATCAACTAACTCATCATTGATGAAGGTGACGAGGAGGAGGACGACATGAAATCTATGCAAACACGACGAATAGAATTAATCCATCTGTATAGAAGGCAACAGAAGTAAAACACAACATAAATAATACAAAAGGTTTCAGTGTAATTATTATATAATGCATAGGGTTGTTGTATATAAGTAACCTGAATATAGGAGAGAGAGGTAGGCATGAAACTGATATAGATTAAGCTTTCTAATAACTTCATTAAAAGATCCATTTGTTAACTTTGCTAAGAAGAGATCAACTTAAATAGGAGCCTAAAGGTGAGCCCATGACTATTCAGTCTATTTGTCTATATTGCCGATACATTGACGGCATCTCTAGACAGACAGACAGACAGATACAACGGAGAAATTTGTATGTAAGTACATCAATTAAGGTTGCCATACCACGTCAGCACAGAGATGTAACTGTCAGTTCAAATCCAAGAGTGATAGCAATAATAGAAGTATTAGCAGCAATGGAGAAGATTAGGGAGCAAAGATATGATTCGACAAGTATAATTCAGTGAGATAACTATATAAAGAGAAAGATAGAGATGATGAGGAATTCAGATTAGAATTAGAGAGAACACAAACGGTGGATGCACCTGCGTCATTGCAAACGATTTTCAGTGATGTCATTTAAGGTGTCTAACCATCGGTGACTTTCGTCTCACGGACCCCAACCACGTAGCCTAATTCTACCAACATGACTCAGTCCACTAGTCAGTGACTTCATGGATTTCGGCCATGTTTTGGTTTGGCCACCCCTAACTTTCTTCCAATCTATTCCTACACTGCAAAACACAGCTCGTCGAGGCAGTCGGTGGTTAAGCATACGTAACACATGTCACAACCACCTCAAATGATGAAGTTTCACCACTTCATCTATTGATTTGCCATCCTTACCTAGAACTCGTTTCTTAATGACAGCATTGCTCACTCGGGTGTCCCACGATATACGAGCAATGCTTCTTAAAAATCTGTGATCGAATACTAGTAACCTACGACAGCCCTCTACTCTTAAAGGCTATGTTTTGCATCCATAAAGTAGGACAACGGCAACTCCATTATTGTAGATCAGAATATCAGCAAAGAAAAAAAGTCATTGAACAGAATTAAACAGTATACACCCGGCAATTACTTTCACTGGTGAAGAGGAGTATGATAAGAATTTTGTATAACCTTGACGACACACACTAAACAGTTGACGTAATAGCTCGTTAAATAGAAGCGTGTATAGAAAAAGTCGTTCTGCTTACCTATAGACTCCCTATTATAGTTTTACACATATCTACTACAAAAGAAATTTGCTTAGATGTTTCACAAGTAAAACAAAAAATAATATGTTCAGTGGATACTTTAAGTCATGAGGAGCTAGAATTGATTAACATTATACTGACCGAGATTGGCTACGCCAGCGCATGCATAAGGAAATCGAAGACTTCAACTGTTCAAACAAAAACCTCTATTCAACTGGGATGTGACTGACAATGCCCTGTATGATAAATGAGCAAAAGTAATTAGTAGGACATTCTACACAGTCAATCTAGCGTTAACTTTCTCCAGTCGACCAATGAAGTCTACTCAAACGAAGGATAAGTTATCTTAGTTGACCTCTTCAATGTGCATTTACGGAATTTATAGTTGCTCCTGTAGATAACGGGACTACTACCAGGTAAATTAACCAACGAATCAATGAATGAATGTCTTCTAGCATGATTTAATAAAGGGTCAAATAAAAACAATACACAGTTCTTTCTTGTTACATCTGGTTGATAGTGGACATATTGTAGATAAATATCTATCATTTTCCCATATGGAGTTCGATCTCACCTCCTCCTACATATATAACGGAAGTTATACAAATTCAAGCATTCAATCTTAATTTATGTAACACCCCATATTCCTTCCTTAGTTAGATATAAATTATTTTTATTATTTTCACACCTTGTATTTATTTTCAGATAGAACTTTGGAGATTTGTGTTTTTTTACAAATTTGAAATCATCAATCAAGCATTGTTAGACCAACATTAGAAACATGGAAGCACTGAAAGACGGCCGTTTCGTCCTGGTATGGGACTCATCAGCAGTGCGCATTCACGACCCTTGCACCTCGCAGGATTCGAACCAGGGACCTTCTTGTATTGTACGCGAACGCCTAACCATCGGACCACTGGGCCGGCATCCAACAGTGTGAATGTCTAACTCTGATTGATCTAGGGATTTTGTGCGACCTCACCCCATATGTCTTTGGTAGTAGTTACTGCCTACAAACGACAAGGTTGAACTCCATTGGTCAGGTCTTCTCAACTAGGGAATATGATTTCAAAAAGGCTGAGTGGAAAGGTATGTTTTATTTAGTTAAACAGATAACTATTCATACAAAGAGGCTAGCATATTGACTGCATGCCCACACCGAAACACGGGGATCGATCGATGTTAGATTACCATTAGAAACCTGGAAGCAATATAAAACATAACCGTTTGGTTTTGGTATGCGACACATCGACTTTGCGCATCCATGCAAATCTGCTACTCGCAGGATTTGAACCTATTAGGATATTCATCTAATATCCAAAGAGAATTATTGGTCAATTCGTATTGGTTAATTCCTAATGGTCAATTTTATGGTCGTCCTAGATATCAATGTCACATACTCCAATGTTGTTTGTTATCGATTGTCCTGACTACCAATATCACTTCAAATGTTACTTCCTATTGGTCGTCTTAACCGTCAATGTCACAGACTTCGATGCTGTTTCCTATTCGACCCGGTCCCGTATCCCTAGACCGGGATCCTGATTCTCTTCTGGACTCGGACCTCATACTTTCTGGATGCTTGTAAAATACAAGTTCTACTTCATATTCAAGTCTTCTTATTTTTTATTCAATATGGAGGTTGGAATAATCGGGTTTGAGTAGCATGTCGTGTCGCCGGATCCTCGCCTCGATCCTTGCTCTCCCGTTTCCGACTAGGTAAACTCGTAACAGTTCAAGCATATCAAGTTGACGTGTTTATGTGCAGGCGTAACAGAACCCAAGATCCTTGGATATACGCACAAACGCGGTTATATATCCATATAAATGTATAATAATAATTAGGGGGGCGGGGGGCGGCGGGAAAACTAAAAATCAAAACCAACTAACTTACTGTGTTCTAATTTCCATTGTAGTCGCTTCAAAATAATGCGCTGGCCGATCAGTATTCAATGGTAATAGAAGAAAACCTAAATTATTTCTTAATACACTTAATATCTCCGGATTAATTGATTCAATATGTTTTAATATGTCAGTATTTGTGACAATACTACCGGTGACCTCCTCCTCCTCCTGCTCACCATCATCACCATCAACATCAACAACAACATTATTATTCGACTGATGATGAAGATGTTTATTGTTAATCATTGTCAATTGACTAATAGAATTGTTATCTTTACGAAAAATTCTCTCTCTACACGATTGTGTTGGCCGTTTTGATAATTTATCTAATTCTAATTTATTCATCATTACCATAGTGGTAGATTTCAATGAATGAATATCTACTAGACTAGTTGTCATTTCATTATGTTGCTGAAATAAATTAACATTTCTTGGCGGTGGTTTACACAATCGATACACTGGATTACCAACAACACCTTGTTGTTGTTGTTGTTGCTGATGTTTCTGTTTGTAAATACTGGATAATTCTTCTATAAGTAATGCTTTATTAATAAGTGAATGATTATCAAAACTATGCGATTTCACTTGTGGTAATGTTTTGATTGGTTGTTTAAATGAATCACTACTTGTGTGATTGGTCAATTTAACATCATCGCCATCAGCTGCATCAGCTGCATCAACAGCATCAACAACAACACGACTATCCTTCACATCAATATTTTGATTATCTAAATAGAATAAACGTAGACCAATCACAGTGAGTTTATCTACTGCACGTGTATTAGCACGTGCAGCGTAAAATTCAAATGAAGTATCTGTTTGTAATGCACAAAATAAACGAGATAAACACACAGTGGATGTTGATGACGAGGATGACGACGATGGCGATGACGACAACGACGACGGTGGCGGCGGAAGTGGCACTGGAAGAAGCGGTGGTGGCTGCGGTTGCGGCTGCGGTTGGGATGATGACGATGACGATGAAAATAATTTGTGATTTAATAATTCTTGATTTATTAAACATGTTTGACGATGAATTAAATTATGATTAATATGGATAGAATTTGTTGACGAATTAATTGCATTGAAATCCTGTTGTCGTTGTCGTCGTCGTAGTGGTGGTGGTGGTGGTGGTGGTCGTAGTAGTAGACTTTTTCGAAAGTCAACATTTCTATCAATAGATCGATATTGTATAGAGGATTTCGGCAGACGAATTGGTGATTTTGTTGACCAGGAATTATTAAAACGACTCCATAATAAAAATCCAGTCCGTGATGGTGGTTTCGATGATGGTTGCTTTAGAAATTATAGTAGAATGAATTTAAAAAAATGTGTCAATATCAATCAATGATGAGTACAAGAAACTACAAACATGTTGATCTAGTATTGATTGCCAGTCAGCTATAATGTAGAACTTCATACGGGTACGTACATCAGTTCAAGTTACCATAACATATTAGCACAGAGAGACCGAGTTGTCAATTCAAATCAGTCAGTCAGTCAGTTGCAGCGTAGAACTTCGTACGTATATACATAAGTCCATGTTGCCATACCACAATAGCACATAGACGCAAATGTCAAATCAAATCCCATAGTAGAGGTATTAATGGTAATGAAGAAGACTAGGGTTTGAAGCTGCTACCTTGACATGGTGGTCGGGCTTACCTATCGTGATGACCCAATCGAGCTATACTGGCTGGGACTTATGTTCCTGAAGGTTCTACCATGTCAGGCAGGTCGATTGGAGAACGATCAGACTAAAAGCAGCTACCCAAGGTCTGAGGGCGAAGTCGTACTGCTGACTGCAGAGGGGTGTGACAGCAGTAAGGTGTTTCCCTCGGACAACCAGCATCTGCAGCGATGCTGCCTTCTCACAAGGAAGGAAGAGTTAGAAAAGATCAACCCTAAAAATGTCACACCTCACCCTACCTCCCGTATTTCCGTCTCCGTCGGTAATGGTGCCCACTAAGTGCTTCCAAGACCGGAGCTAACACTCAAAAAACTTCTCATAAAAAGGCCGTGTGTGACCGGCTTCAAGCAGTTGTCCCTTGGGCTCTGCGGTCACGCTCGCAGGTCGTTCAAACCAACGCTAACCTACCTTCCTTTTCAGGTTCCTCAAGAAACAACCTTCCACGGTGTGGGCAGTCGGGAACTGACAACTGCCCTCATACCCGTGACAGCACATGAGACCGAATTGGTCAAAATCAAATCAATTTAAATCACATAGTTTCAGATGTAGTAGAAGTGTTAGAAGTAATTGGAACGATTAGGATTCAAAGTTGTTATTTAAGAAGTAGAATCTAGTGAAATAAACTTAAAAAGATAAAGCTGATGAGGAGGAATTCAGATCGTTTTCAGTATTCTTCTCATCAGGATTTCTACTGGCGGCTTTTGCTCCGGTAACAATTCATTTGGTGTTGTCCGATAGACGTACAAGTAATTTTGTAACGTGCATTGGCTGGTGTCCCCTGACACCGCATGAATTTTTCGACCAACTCTGTTGGGCGGGTGGGTGTAATGCTGTACGTCCTACTCCTTTTTTCAGGGTGTATAAGTTTAACTGATAAACTCAACAAAAGTGATATGAAACAAAACAACCATTGATAATATTCAATCATTTTTCAAATGGAATAAAGTTATAATGAAAAAACAAAACAAAATAGAAGCGAATAATTGACTATACACCCAGATAGAATTCATTGTCATGTCAACACACCCCCACACACACACACACCTATTGTTAGCAATTTGAAAGAAGAGGTTAATAAAAAGAGCTCATCAGACTACTAAAAAAATAAAAAGGAGGCAAGCAGATGAAGTTATTGATAAGATTTAAAAGTCTCTTCGTTGAGATCATAAGAGATTGTTAGTCAATCAGTTACAATGTAGAACTTCGGCAGAAATCCATGAAGTCATTGACAAGTGGACTTAGCCATGTCAGTAGTTGTCGACTATCTGGTTGGGTTTAGCGAGATGATAATGATCGATGGTTAGAGACCTTGAATGACATCGCTAAAAATCGTTTACAATGGCGCCGGTGCATTTATTCTTCGTGTTCTCTCAAATCCTAATCTTCTGGATTCTTCTTCAACACCTCTAGTTTTGACTTTCTAAACTTTTCTCACTGAATTATACTTCTTGAATAATATCTTCTTATCCTAATCTCTCCGACTACTTCTAATACGTTTACTACCTCTACTACTATTATGGGATTTGAATTGACAATTACATCTCTGTGCTGATGTGGTATGGCAACATGAACTGATGTACTTACATACGAAGTTCTACGTTGCAACTGACTGACTGACTGACTGATCAATAATAACAGTAATAATAATAATAATAATAATAATAATAATAATAATAATAATAGTGTTATTGAATTGTAAACGATACCAAAGTGATAAACACCAAAATTTTATAAACCCGCATATATATATATATATAGTACTTTTTTGGCGTTAGTAGTATTAGTAGTACTACTAGTAGTACTAGTAGTAGTACAGTTAATCATATGAAATATACTCTTTGTACACACATACACATTAAAACACATATATATATATATATATGTACATTGATATGCAAAGAAATACAACCAAAATAGGCATGTATTGTTAAGTAAGATGAAATGATCAAGTTTTTATAATTTCCATTTGTCTCACTCACTCTCTCTCTCTCTCTCTCACACACACACACACTCTCCCTCTCTCTCGCTCAATCTCTGGTGACGGAGAAGGAGTTGATCAAAAGAACAGAACAGAACAGAACAGAACAGAACAGAAAAACAACAACTTACAATAATGACCTTTAACAAATATGTAAGGCCAGAATAAAAAAAAAAACTAATGACCAATATGAAATCAACCAACTATATTTATGTTTATTATAAAATAATGTGTTATTCTACTAGTGTTTTGCATTAATCAAACAAATCAGAGCATTCATTCATTAGATTAAATTAGATTAATGTATAATAGGTAGGTAATCTTATCAGTTGTGTTATGTATATTTGAACAATGCTCTCTGGAGCTGTTCTAGGGTTACTTCCGATCACAAACCCGACAAACAGACAGACAAACAGACAGATGCAACACAGAACTTCGTACGTACTCACGTACATCATTTCAGGTTTCCATACTACATCAGCACAGAGACACAACTGTCACTTCAAATCCAAAAGTGATAACGATAATAGAAGTATTAGCTAGTAATGAAGAAGATTAGGGAACGAAGATATGATTCAAGAAGTATAATTCAGTAAGATAAATTTAGAAAGAGAAAGATAGAGATGATGAGGAATTCAGAAGGTTAGAATTAGAGAGAACACAAGCCCGGATAATGGAGAAGGGTCTGGGATACGCGGTTAGCCAACCAATCTTCCGTGGAAATCTAACTCACTAAAAAAACGCTAATCAGGGAAACATAATACGCTCCTCGGCCGACTATACCGTATTAGGGGTAGCAGATATAAGCAAACAAACATTTAGGATCTATCAGTTAAACGTATTTAAAAACAGAACTAAACATATCTACTAGATTCCAGCATTAATCGTAGTCTATTTAAGTGTATAAAAAAAGTGCAATATACTGATGACCTTGACTGACCTACCAACCAATCAGAGAACGACAGTCAACAAAAGGCATAAACCAATCATGGAATTGTACTGGAAAGCTTACTAAACCTTACTCTATACATTCGGATTATTTCTGAATGGTATCAATTCCTCTCCTTATTCAATGTAAACGCATTCTATGTACTCAGTGATTTGTCGGCCCACATTTTTTTTCTCTTGTTCTTTCCTCCTCCAGATAACTTCACATAACTCATTTTCACATATCTGCAGCACACAACGGAACTCCTCCTGACTACACAGACACGAACAAACCAGCGGCTGAAGTTACAATCAGTTTAAATTTGATCAATAATCAACCTTTAAACATGTCAGAGGTTAAATGTACATCTTAAGAGGCAGGTTGTGAGCACTATCAGCCTAGTCAGTCAGTCGGTCAGATGCAAAGTAGAACTTCGTACATAAGTACATCAGTTCATGTTGCCATACCATATCAGCACAGAGATATAATTGTCAATTCAAATCCGATAATAGTAGTAGAGGTAGTAAAGCTGTTAGAAGTAATCGGAGAGGTTAGGATTAGAAGATATTATTCAAAAAGTATGATTCAGTGAGAAAAGTTTAGAAAGTCAAAACTAGAGGGGTTAGAGAATACACAGGATTAGGATTTGAGAGAACACAAAGAATAAATGCACCGGCGCCATTGCAAACATTTTCGAGTCATGTCATTCACGGTCTATAACCATCGATTACTATCATTTCGGTGAACCCGACCTGGTAGTCGACACCTACCGACATGGCTCAGTCCACTTACCAATGACTTCATGGATTTCTGCCATGTTTTGGTCTGATCGCCTCTTTCTTCCAACCTACTCCTACACTATAAAACAAAGCTCGTCGAGGCAGTCGGTGGTTAGGCATACGTAGCACATGTCCCAACCACACTATCAGCCTAGCTACATCGTAAACACGGTTAGGTAGGATTCAGTTCTAAGTTCAGTATATAAATTCGAGTTAAGGATCTTGTTTTTAAACAAAAAAAAACCTAACATCACCTAGCGATGTAATCTTTTATCATTCTATTGTTCAGATTTATTTTCAGATTTAGAGTAGTAGTTAAAAAGACAGGCCAACGTGCATTATTGTATCACAAGTGTAATTACGCTTTAAGAGCAATTATGTTTTGATAATTTAGCATAAATTAATAAACAACTAACTAACTTTCTTCAATTCACTTTTATTTCTTAATTTCTATTGATTTCAAGCATATTGACGACCTCATATATTGTTGGTGAATTAATTAATAATTATAAACATTACAAGTTATCTCTCAATTACAATTTGATTGAAACATTTTCATGGAAAAAACTATACAAAACATTATGTTGATTTTGATTGGCTGTCGTCCGACAAGGTCATCAAGTGTACATGATAATGTTTTACTGAATGTATTTACAATTCCATAGAGACAGGATTAATTTTTATAATTTAAATATAGACGTTATTCGAGATTCATTGATTGTAGTCTATTTAATATACAGATAATATTCTGACAATCAGTCAGTCATTTAGGTATAACATAGAACTTCATTAGTTCAATTTGCTATACTGCATTACCACAGAGATGCACCTATCAGTTCAAATCCTATAGTTGTAGAGATAGCGGTAACTCGGTGAACTAACTTTAGAAATACAAAGATAAAGACGATGGAGAATTCAGAA